ACGAGACAGGGAGAGGGCGAGGTGTCCTCGGCACGCGCGTGCCAGCGCGGCGGTGACAGTGGGCTCACCTTTGCATGTGTGGTATCCGTTCACGCTGCCTAACGACCCTCCCGGTGCGGGCGGCACAGCACCTGAGCAGAGGGGACAGAGACAGACAGAGGGACAAGACAGACGTGTTAGGAATGCGGGCAGCAAGTGATGAACGGCCCTCCGTGACATGGACCACACTGGCCACCGAGCACAGACATGGCATCTCCACGATCCCACCCACCCGGCGCTGACGGACCCACCGGCTCGGCGCCGAGCGAGAGGCGTTAGTTCGCTTTGGAGCCCGTTTATTTCTCCTCCTCCCATCCCACCCACACCCATCGCCTTCCCGGAGCTGCTCCTGCCTCGCTGCACCAGAAGCAGAAGAGCTGGAGCTGCCCGGAGCTGCGCATCTCTCCCAGAATCGCCCACAGTCCAGGATGGACGTGGCTCCTGCATGGGCCATGATGGTAGGAGCCTTTGGCCACGTCTCACCCCTGGAAAGCTGCTACCTCGAGCATGATTGTGTGAATTATAACCTCGAGTGAGACTGCTGAATGCCTTCCCTGAAGGGATTAACTCCCTTTAAGGGATTAACTCCCCCATATTCTCCCTTTCTTACGGGATGAAACTATTTAAACCCACCCTGGCGCACGGACACACTCCCTTTGCCAAGAGGCTCCACGCAGGTGCCTCAGTGTCCCCTCCTCAGACACCAGATATCGCTGCTACATTCACAGCCCAAGGGGGATTCATTGGAAACATTATTGGGAGAGTCTCTCTCTTCCTAACCACGTGTTTTAAAGCTTTCATGGATGTAAGGGGCTGTAGCTTTGGTCACCCCACGTGGGTCACCCACAACACAGGGAGCCTCTCCTCACTTCTCTTAGAGGTTTCCCACTGAACTGCTCATCAAGTTCACCCTAACAAACATCTCCAGACTCTGAATCCCTGTAAATGCCCATCAACCATGAGAGTTCAGAGGCTCGTTCTCACAAGCTGGACGACATCTTTCAGTTGGTTTCCAAACGAACCAGACATAATCTCATCGCTTCACGGACTCGAAGCCAAAATGGAGACGAGTAAATCACGTCTGAATATCGCAGTCTTAAAATTTCATCCAGATAGGAAACCCAAACGCTGGAGTTTGATTAAAACACTCCAGCCCTCAGGAGGCTGAAGCACATCACCAAGAGAAAGCAGGAGCCGCCTCCACCATCCCCCAGGGGGCCGAGAGCCCGGACCCCCGTGCTGCAGCAGCTCGAAGCCCCCACGCTCCATCCGAGCAGCCGTACGTGCCCCCACGCTGCACTCACGGCGAGCGCAGCGTAATTCAGCGCTCGTTACGCTGCAGCAAATTAAGGCAAGTTGGCTCCGCGCGCTCGGCTGACGCATCAACGCAACGGCGGCTTGACCACGGGCTGAGCCCCATCGTCCTTGGATCACCACGGGCCCTCTGGTGTTTGTTACAAAGGGGAAAAAACCCCATTTTT